TTTATAATATTGGTTCTAACTTTTGATTTTTTAATTATTGTTCGATATTTATATTTTTTAAAATATTGTTATACAAAAATTAAAATAACTTAGTGATATATATATATATATTTATAGTGGTACATATATAATTAAAAATCATTTAATTTCGGAGAGAAAATTAAAGATTGGGATGTTAATGGTGTCATGATGTGAGAAAAGACCAAAAGATTTATGCCACGTAAAGATGTCTCTTGAGACTGCTTCCATTCATTTGTAGGTAGGTGCACATCTCAAAATTTAATTAATTAATATTTAAAATATGATACACACACACACACACATATACATATACATACACATACATATATGTATATATATATATATATGTATAAATGAAATAATTTATTTCTCTGAATTTTTTGTAATCATATATAATAATATTAATATTTTTTTAGTTATTATAAATGAAGACCAAAAAGATCTTAACATCTAAAAATGCTTTTAAAAAAAATACAGAAAACCGAAAGCGAAAAACACGTAAAAGTTTCGAAACGGCTAAAAGACTACGAACCAAAGCCAACTGCAAAAAATAAAAAAATAATAATAGATTGAGTTTTTATAAATATAATTTAAATATATATATATATTTTTTTGTAAACTATACAAATTTTCTTGTACTTTCTAAATGATAATAATAATTTACTTTACTTTTTAATTAATTAATTTTTTAGTATTGTGAATTTTAAATACATAATTAATTTTTTAAAAAATAAATTTAAAAAAAAAAATGGGGATGAAAGGACTCATCAGGAGACAAAAAGGAGCAGACGACATCTCCTTTTGTGATGCCCCATTGGGTTTTACATCCCACTCCCCCCTGCAACTTGGATATAGCTTTAAAATATATATATATATATATATAATAAAAATTATAAAAAAAAATAATCCAAAACATTATTCTAAAATTTTATAATAACATAAAAAATTTATGAGTCAAGTCATACGAAGGAAAACCCACGAATGCCATTTTTATCTACCAGTGAAAATTGTTGTCTTTTACTCAAAATCAGAAAACAAAAAGCATGGAAATGACTCCAACCCCAACAATAAAGCCCATTGCTTCTTTTGTTTTCTCTTTTTTTTTTTTTATTTAATTAAAAAATAAAACAATAAAAATAAATATAAAGATAATTACTTCTTATGTGGTAGGGCATTGAATAATTAATTGGGTGCATAATAACTTTATGGTGCCTTTTTTTATTTTAAAGTATATAATATGCTATTTTGGTACCAAGTTGGGTTTATCATAAGATTATATTGATAATATTTTCACAAGGATGAAAAGGAACAAATAATGTTTTTATTATTTAAAAAATAAAAAAAAACTATTGTTTTGCACCTTATAATAATTAATTATGAGTGTGTTGTTGTTGGAGGTAATTGCTTAAAATTGATTGGATGTTATTTGAGAGTTTCCAAAAATGGCATCTTTGTGGGTTAGCTTTCCATAAGAATCAACTTCTAAGGGGTCGTTTTGTTGGAATCTTTTTTCTAAGCTTAATTATTGGAGAAGCTGTCTTGCAAAAATGCTCTTACCACTTAACATCTTTTTATGACTGCTAAAACTATTTTTTTATTGTTTTTAAGAAACAAAAAATATATATATAATATATTATATTATATTACATTACATTACGTATAGATATAGAAGAACCAAGAACCCTTTATATCTATAGCTATCTACAACTCTTTCGCTTACTTTAATTCAATTAAATTTATGTACCACATCTTGCTACCTATAACCACACACATATATTTGTTTATACGTGTGTATGCCGGGGGAGGGGAAGGGGGTTTTGGTTATAATTAATTAAATCCAAGTACTGTTAATTTCAATAGCCAGCTACTATGTGGTCAAAACCCAATGAAATTTTGACCTCCCTCATCTTAATCTAGCCATTAAAGTATTATAAATTTTTCTTTTTGGGATGATATTTAAAGAATTCTTTGTACTTGGGTAATTGCAACAGCCCGTTTTTATATATTTTTTTTAACGTAACTTCTATAAAATATATTGTAATAAACTATCTAATAAGGTATAATTTAAAATTCGTATATATATATATATATATATATATATGTAAATAAGAGAATTCTATTGAGGGGAGGGGGATAGGGGGAAAAGAAAGAGAGAGAGAAAAGAAAACCCTAGGATGCCAAGGGAAGAAGGGGTGGGGCCAGGAATCGTTCCCGTGAAAACGCACACACGCGAGTGTCTGACAGGGAAAGTGGAGTTCGTACTTCACTGTATACTTACTACTACTTCACTTGTACAAGATTGTGTCTTATGAATTTTCTTTCTTTTTATTTATTTATTTATTTTTAGTATATTAAAAATATATTTTAAGTTATAATCCAAACAAAATAATTCATTATGATAATTTAAAATTATAATTTATTTTGAAAGGGATAAATATATATATAAATGTAAAAATAAAAATAAAAATTAAAGGAGGGGTGAAGAGTGAAAAGACAAGTCAAACGTCAAATCGAGGGTCTTGAAATCATAAGACAGTCAGTGAATGTGTTGTGTTGTCAATCCATCGGATTTCCTTGTTCTTATTTGTGTCTATGCCCTACACTCTACAACACTCTTCCCTCTATACATATATTTATTTTAATTTTTAATTTTTAATTTTTACTTTTACCCTCCCTTTTTAAAAAAAAAAAAAAAAAATTTTAACCTTTTACCCTCTTCTTCTTTATACGTACATATATTTCTATAATCAATTAATTTTTAATTACCACCAACACCTTTCTTTACAGTGGGAAAAAAAAATATATATATATCATTACGCTTTACTCGAAAACTATAAAAAAAATTTTATAAAACAAACAAAAGAGTTTTAATTCTATTAATGTATTCTTAAAACTAAATTAAATTTTATTTCGCTAATGAAATCAAAACATAATATATTATTAAAATTATACTGTCTCGTATGAATGAATTATATAACTTACAATGGGGTAACAGAAACGTACGCACTGCAACTGGCACCTCCTCTTTCTACACGTGCAAAGTCTTGTCTCACGTGCAGTTCTGCAAGTTAAAAATAAAATAAAAAGAAAATAAAAAAGTTGTATTGTTTTGTTGTTGTTGGAACTAGTCCCCATATATCTTCAATTCAAACCCACATTCATACACTCGGTTTACACATTTCCCCACGCACCCTCTTTTTTATTTCCTTTCCGTTCTTAAAAAACTTTAATTTAATTAATTTTAATAATACATTATGTATATATATATATATATATATGTACGTACGTACGTGTGTGTGTATATGTTGTAGATATGTAAATATAGAATTGTTATTGTTAATTAATTTATTGGTTTGGTAAATAGAGGGATGTACAGCCTATTTATTATCCCTCAAAAAGTTGTACGGACCACTCGATCCCAAGCTTTTCCATTCACATGGGAATGGGTGTACGAGTGCCACACCCTAAACTTTACAAAAAAATAATCCAATTTTATTTATCTAATTTCCTAATTTATTATCAAATTAAATTCTAAAATGAAAAGAGAAAAAAAAAAAAAAAAAAAGGAGTTACTCAATTTAATCATATATGCCCCCTGCATATAATATAATATAATATTTGAGAGATTGATTCGGACATCAACACGTAAATATTTAGAATAAATAATTAATTATATGTCAATTGAAAAAATTTAAAATATCAGTAATAAGTAATAAATATTGTTTTTTTCTATATGTGTTTTTTCTGAAATTTAATTGTTTTTGGACCGTCGGATACTAAAAATAAATTATCGTTAAAAAAAAAAGAGGTTGCGAATAAAAGCGATCAATTATTGAAGAATACAGTGTTGAGTTACAATTATTTTCTTTGGCTGAGTCTAATTAATTATAAGATGTAGGCACCATTTTACAGTACCTGATCCCATAACATGTTATAATTTTTCAGACACACCATTAATTTTTACTTCTCGTCTATGCGCTACTTTTTATATATAAATCTAAACGTAGATGGATGGAGTGTTGCCTTGAAAATGAAATTTATTTTCTCATGTAAAAAAATATAATAAATTCCAACGAAACCTGAAATGATTAGTTTGAATCGGGTCCAAATCAATTGAAAGCTAGAAATTGAATCAATATGCAGACAATTATTAATATTTGGAAAAATAAATTACGTTCAAAGTATTATTTGTATAATATAAATAAATTATAATATTAGGACCACTTTTTATTGGTAATTTTATCAACTTCGAATCTAAATTTGATTGTATTTTTCCCTGGTACACATTTATCGGCAAATTAGAAATTGTACGAACTAAATCCATAATTACTGAACTTAAACTAATTACTACTGTACCCGTATGTGGCGTACATAATAATTATTATTTTTTCTATAATTAACTTAAAACATATTGATTAATTATTATTATTATTAAGGGGCGAGGGAGGGGGAAAAAAAGGAGGCTCATCCCATAAAAGGCATAATAAAGGGTCAAGGTCACATCGTATAATTCAGCAGTCAACACCCATCAATTCATAAAAATAAAAAGTAATTAATTTCTGATTTTTTTTTTTTTACATTTCGACTACTTTCTACTTCTACTAACTATATATATATATATATATATACACACAAACACACACACACTACTTATAAATTATCTTAATTTTAACTTAATACCAACAAGATTACCTATTAATTAATTAAAATCATTAGTAATTAAAACTAAAACTAAAACAGAGCTAATCATGTGGATAGTTTATTTTTATTTTATTTTATTTGCTGCATGCCTTTCTAATTGCAATAAACTTGCAAAAGTCATAGAACAATTAATTATATTATTTTCAGAATTATATATTAAATATTTATAATATTTGACAATCTCCTATTTTAAATACCACAGCCGCCCAGAACAGCCACCCATATAGTTTCCTCTCTCTGATTTTTCTCAAAAACAAAAACCACACAAAAAAAAAAAAAAAAAAAAAAAAAATCCATCAACGCACAACACCACCACTCTCTCAAGAGAAAGAGAATCTCTCTCTCCTTCTCTCTCTCACTCTTTCTCTATAACCAGAACAAGAATCATCATCATAACCATCTTCGATCATCATCATCATCATAGTTTGAGCGAAGAAATTAATCAACATCATCAATTGGATCAAAAACCAGCACATATCAAGACCCGAATGAGCTCTTAACCACTCTTTATTTCTCTTGTTTTTCTCTTCTTAATTTTTGCTGTAGTAGAGAGATATAAAACCATATTCAGGAAGAAGGGAACCCTAGTGAGGTAAAGAAGATCGGGGAGGGAAAAAAAGATGAGCAGCCTTGAAGAGTCTTTAAGATCTCTGTCACTTGACTATCTAAACTTGCTGATAAATGGTCAAGCTTTCTCTGATGTGACTTTCAGCGTAGAGGGTCGGTTAGTCCACGCGCACAGGTGCATCTTAGCGGCTAGGAGTCTCTTCTTCAGGAAATTCTTCTGTGGACCCGACCCACCACCGGGTTTGGACCCGACTGGCTCTCGGATGAGTCCCGGGGCGGCGAGAGGGGCGGGGGTGATACCGGTGAACTCAGTGGGGTATGAGGTGTTCTTGTTGCTGCTCCAGTTTTTGTATAGCGGACAAGTCTCTATTGTGCCGCAAAAGCACGAGCCAAGGCCTAATTGTGGGGAGAGAGGGTGTTGGCACACGCATTGCACCTCAGCCGTTGATCTTGCTCTTGACACACTCGCAGCCGCTCGATACTTTGGGGTTGAACAGCTTGCATTGCTCACTCAGGTCTCTTTACCTTCTTCATCAACTCTCTCTCTCTGAATCTTGATTTTGAACTTGGATTTCTTTTTGGCTACTGGGAAAATTACTGGGTTTGTTTCTTTTTTAAAAATCAGAAACGTTCGTTTTTTCTAATTTTTTGTTAAATGAACATTGATTATCATTTCTACTCCGAAAAAAAAAAAATTGTCATTTATCTTTTTTGGGGAGAATTTATTATGGTATGATATAATAATGATGAAGTAGGTGTGTCTGCTGTTTAACAATCTGAATCCTGTCTGAAAAATTTTGTCTTAAAAAAAACTTCTTCATTAAATTAAGACTGCAGTTTGGATTTGATCTAACACTGATTTTTTTAAGTACTTTATTTTTTTTTCTTCTCTTTTCTGCAACAGAAAATCTTCCTTTTTTAGTTTCTGCAAAAGCGTTTGATTCTATTATTAATTTTGCTTCAATTTTCGGTAACAATTTTTACTGTACTGTCAATGTGCTTCTTCTTCTCCTCCTCTTCCTCGACGTCTTTTTATCTCTACAGTACTCGGCGTTTACAAAATCCACTGTTTTCTTTTTGATCAAAAGTCTAATATGATATATCCTCTCGAGGGTTTTTATCCATACATATAACACATTTATATATGTATGTGTATATATATACGCTTATCTTGATTTCATGTACTTGCCATTTTGTGATTTCCTTGAATTGGGTTCCTCTCATCTGAATTTTGCTCACTCAATAATTTCTTTATTTAGATCTTGATGATCAGCTTCACATCTAGTCTTGTCTTCCACAGTAAAACACAGCAAAAAATTTCTTTAATTCCCCAAACATTCACTTTCCTCATTTGGGTTTCAAAACTTTGTATTTAGAAAAAAAAACGACACAAAACCTACTACTCTACTTACAGAAATCCTCACCATCTAATCTCAAATTTTCACAAACATCAAATCATTTTTAAGTAATGCGCTCGCTAAAAGCCAAAAAAAAGTTGCCATTTTTCCAGTCACCATTTTTGGTTCCTTGAAAAAGTTTTAATCTTGGTTAATGTTGCAGAAGCAATTGGCTAGCATGGTGGAGAAGGCATCAATCGAGGACGTAATGAAAGTTTTAATAGCTTCAAGAAAGCAAGACATGCACCAACTCTGGACTACTTGTTCTCATCTTGTCGCTAAATCAGGTTTACCCCCGGAAGTCTTGGCCAAACACCTCCCTATTGATGTGGTGGCAAAAATAGAAGAGCTCCGGCTCAAGTCATCGCTGGCTCGGCGTTCACTTATGCCGCACCACCACCATCATCACCATCACCACCACCACCACGATCTCTCCGCCGCGGCTGATCTCGAGGACCAAAAAATTAGGCGGATGAGACGGGCCCTCGACTCCTCAGATGTAGAACTTGTAAAGCTCATGGTGATGGGAGAAGGGCTTAATCTCGACGAGGCATTGGCTTTACACTACGCTGTCGAGAATTGCAGTCGAGAGGTGGTGAAAGCCTTGCTAGAGCTCGGTGCAGCCGATGTTAACTTCCCGGCAGGGCCCGCAGGGAAGACACCGCTTCACATTGCGGCGGAGATGGTGTCGCCGGACATGGTTGCTGTCTTGTTGGACCACCATGCCGACCCGAATGTAAGAACTGTAGATGGAGTCACTCCATTAGACATTCTAAGAACCCTAACCTCGGATTTCTTGTTCAAAGGTGCGGTCCCTGGGTTAACCCACATTGAGCCAAACAAGCTCAGACTTTGTCTGGAGCTGGTTCAGTCTGCGGCTTTGGTCATTTCCCGGGAAGAAGCTGGAAGTGTCAATGCACCAACCTCAACTGCTATTTATCCACCCATGAGCGAAGAACATAACAGCAGTAGTAGCGGGAACCTGAATTTGGATTCAAGATTGGTTTATCTGAATCTTGGTGCCGGGCAGATGAGTTCAGGAGATGGTGATCATGATCATAGCAGCAGTCATAGTAGCCAAAGGGAAGCCATGAACCGACATGATCCAACAATGTATCACCACTCTCATGACTTCTAGCTACTCCATCTCTACCTGATATAGTTATATTTCTCTTTCTCTCTTTCTCTTTATTATATATGGTTATATATATATATTTTCTCTCTCTCTCTCTCTCTCTCTCTCTCTCTCTATCTATCTCTCTCTCTATTATATATATATATATATATATGTGGATGAATGGTGAAAGAAAGACAAAGCAAGGAAGGAGTTAGCAGGGAAAAGATAGTAGTAGTTTCATGGGAATTGAACTGATCATGGAGATGGATTATTATTGGATTTATATTGTTTTTTTTTTGTCTTGTCAGACGTGCTTTGCTAGCTTTCACTACTTTTGCCATTTTCTGTTCTGGTTTTTTGTGGGTTAATATCTGTTTTGTAGGATTTTCCCTCGGTGATCATGAAATGAAAGTGGAAGTTTCATGGGTGAAGGGATGGATTTTCTGTTTAAATGTCATGGGATGAGACAAGGAGAATCTGAGATTTTGCTGTTTAGAGTTTCGGGGAAGAAGATGAGACACAGGTCAATCTTTTCAAACTTCTCTCGGCCTGTCAACTCTTTTGTATTTATATTTGATCTGATATATAATGCCCCTATTTATTGTCTCCTTTTATTTTTCTTGTCTCCCCACCCACCTTCCCTCATCATTTTTTATTTTACAAATAAGTAAAATCATCTTAATTAGTCGCATATAATAATTATACACACATAATTCATTAACATGTTAAATTTGTAATTATCTCAATATTTATCTTTAATAATTGTTAGAAATATACATTCCACACACACACACACACATATATGTAGAAATATTATAATAATATAAAAATAATTGGCAATTAGAAACTAAATGGGTTTTTTTCTGTAATGGGTGTGGTGGGGTATATATATATATATATACATATTGGCTTCTTACATATTAGATCATTTTGTTTGGACATGGGTGCTGCATATATTTTCTAATAAGGGTAATGAGCTGTCTCATTTCTAATTTTTGTATTTCTTTTGTACTAATTGTTTTGGAGGAAAACCATGTGGGTATTGGACAAATTGATTGAATTTTGTCTTTGCTTGTATGAGTGTGTCTACTACACACCCTTATATATAATTATTTACCTATATATATATATATATATATTTGTAAATAGCCAAATCTAGATTCTCCACCTTGGTAATCCTCCATTTTGCCCCCTCCTTACCATTTTTGTGCTCTTATCATGCTTCCAAAAGTCTATAAGTTTTTCTTTAAAAAAATAATTGGTGGAGATTTTTTTTTTTTTTAATTACTTTTTATTACAAACCCTAATTTTCTCTTAAATATGCACACACACACACATATATATATATATATATATTTGTTCATGTTGGTGTAGGTCTGAAGATCCTTGCCTATACCCTCTATGTTTCAGCCAAAACACATGCCTAGTTAGTCATATTGTTCTTTCTGTCTCCTAACTAATAAATCATATTTTCAATTAATTATATTATCATGAGCTTTTTTTATATATAAAAAAGTATTCATAATAATTAAATTAGCTTGTTAGAACTGATTAATTTAAAAGCCAACCATTGATTGAATTATATATAAAAGGGGAAATGAGAGCATTGCATCTAGTCCCAATATATATACATATATATATGTATGTATATTTTTATATACACAAAAACACATTTATATGGGCAACAAATTAAAGATTAACTCGCTTGAAAATCAATAGGGTTCTACCTCTAGTCCAATAAAATTAAGAATATATATAATTGATAGAAAAATCTTAGCTAATATTAATTTGATATAATTTTAGAATCAATGAAATTAAACCATTAGTAAGAAAAGAGGATTATTATAGTAGGGGATGCTCAAATTAGTTAAGAGATGGACCGACCACTAGGTAGAGTAACCTCATTTGCATTTTTTATTGTTTGAAATTATTGTATCATTCTTATTCTTGAATTATATTTATGCAGTATTACGTTTAGTTAATTATAACTAGCTCGATATTAAATAAATATAGCATTTCGTACTCTTCGATATCCTTTAATTAGCAATGTTTATGTACAAAGTTGATAATAATCACTCAAAAGAAGACAATTTTTGTTCCCGAATTCTCTTTAATTTATTGCCTATAAGATTAGTGATGGTATGTGTATGTGTGTTTGGAAGTAGTTGTCAATGTATATTATTAATTCATGCATGATATGATAATTGCTAGGAATTACTGGAGTTTAGAATTCCATATATTAATTATGTTGCTCCCTTTCCAGTAGGAAAATTACATATATAGTGGGTATATGACATGGTGGTGATGATAGAAACTCTCACTTCATATTATTCACAATATAATATTGTGGTCTTTATTTTCATAATTAGAATCTATAATTCCCCGGTGAGGATTATGGACTCTACGTTTTTTCCCTTAATTTAAAAACAGTATAATAACTAATCATCAATGTTTGAACTAATTCCTGTGTAATTGTGTGATTTCTTGATCTTCCCTTTGTTTTCAGTAATTAGTCACATACATAATCTAGTAGATGATCTTCTTTATATGCGTATATAGACAGATAGATCATGTACATTGATATCCAGAAATTTGTTGTTACCATAAACCATGCATGCATGATATATATATATCTATATATATATATATATTCAGTTTCTTTGATAGCCAAAGCCAATATTGTTTCATACATATAAACCACGGGCATGCATGCAAAGGCATTCTAGAGTATGTGATATAGATAGCTCGTTATAAATGTGGCTCTGTAGTACATACATACAGCTCATAGATACATTTATGCGTTTGTGGGTATATATGCATGCGTTTATGTATGTGTGTATATGTTCTGTGTGAGCTCACATGGCAAGTTAAGAAGCTCTGATTCGTCTGCTGCATGCATGTCTTGCTTGCAGGCTTCTTGTTATTTTTTATGCAAAAAAAGTTATTATTTGTTTTGTGAACCAAAATTCCATTTATATATATTCTATTTCTAACGAAGTAATGCCGAAGCAAACATATTATTCTCTGACACTAAGCTACAAGTCTTGGTTTTATATTCTATATGCGTGTGTGTACATGCATCAACTTGTTACTGATTCATTCTCTATGAAATCATTCAATGTGGTAATATATATATATATATATATGTATATATACATGTTAAAAATGATATACTATGTATTGAAATATTATGGTGAGTACTGCACTACAACCCCAGAAAACCTCATATACTCCGTTCATATGATTTCCCTGACGCCATTAATGCTTCCTAACACTTCACGAATTGGTTTGGCTTATTAGGGTTACATACTTTAGCTTTTATATGAAGAAAGCGTACACCTTGTAGAGATTTTATACAAGAATAGTTTTATGTTAACCAGATAATCATCAAAATCATCCATACCCAAAGTTTAGCTTTCAGGGTCTCATCATATTGTTTAAGGCAATTTTAAAAATGTTATGAATCTTGAGCATTTGAGGAAAAACTCAAAATAGAGAACATTGCCTATTGACTCATAGCAAATTATTCTCACTTTTATACAAAGTAAGAATAATTGTTAAAAGACCTAAGTATTCATTATGATTGGTGTATAAATAAGATAAGATACAAAATAACAGAGATTTTTACTGTTTATTGTCGCTCTGAGATATTTTTTTTTTTTATGTTTATGAGATTCTAATTATAATTGTATTAAGTATTTTTAATCTAAACAGTATGATGATAAATCGAATTATGAAATACGTTGAGAGTTGAGAATAACATGTTGAGGCAACGGTCAAAAATGACATAGTTACAAAAAAAAAAAGACAATAATATTAGAAATTTTTACTAATCCGTGTTAGAAAGAAGAGCAAGTGATCTTGGCATTCATTATGAGGGAAGGAGATGCATTCAAGAATCCAAGTAGTAGGATCAAGGTGAATGTTTGAGCTCTATTCAAAGACCATTTCAATGAAAAGTTTATCCTTTTGACTTAAATGGAATGAGTTTTGAAACGATCAAGAAAACTTTAAAGGCTCCTTTAACAGAAAAGAGGTATGGAGAAGAATTTGTGACATTGATGGAAACAAGATCCCAAACTCATGTGACTTTAACTTCAACTTCGTTGGAAAGTATTGGGGATCCATGAAAGAAGAGGTAGTGCAATATATGAGGGAGCTTCCTGATCCGGGCAAGTTTCTAACATAACAACTTAATCAATCTTTATTGACATTAAACCATCTCCATAATGGTATTATGTACAAGATTTTGGCAAAAATTTTAACTAAGAGATTGAGTTCAATCATGAATCTCAAGTAATGTATTGTTGAAGTTTTACTTTACTCTGTTTTACTTTATACTTTATTTAAAAGTATCTATCTTATTATTTTTAAAAAATTTCAAAAAAGATACAGATTATTATATGTTTAAGATTTTTTTAAAAAAAAAAAATAATGTAGATATTTTAAAGTAGAGAAATGTATAGTAAAAATTTAATACAACTTTATTTAAGAATTGAATTGATTAAAGAATAAAATAAAATGAGATGTGAAACTAATATTTATTTAATTACACAATAAAATAAAGTATGGATTTTATTGAGATTTTTTTTTTTGAATGGAAATCTATATATTTATTAATAAATGATTCATGAATATCAATTATAACGTAACAGAAAATAACATAAATAAATATAAACTGATTCAAATTTGCAATTTCTTTATATCAATCATTAAAATAAGTATTGATTGGTAAAATCTTAATTCTTAAATATTAATCATATTCCTCTAATTTACTCTAATTTATTAATTTAAAAAAAAAAAGATTTTATAAATACTCTGTTATTCATTTCCTCCCTCAAGTCTCAAAAGAGAGAACTCTCAAGCACACTGTATCTCCATTGTTGGCCAATCTTCTACAGATCCAGCCTTTTGCAGTTCTTGTTCTTGCATTCTATTATTAAGATGCAGTCGACCCCAACATCAATACAGGACATGCCTAAATAATTCACAACAGCAAGTAGTAATTGAATTGAAGCACATAATTACGTGTATACATATACATTTATATATATGCGTACATGTATATTTCTCTTTTTTCTTTTATTTTTCAAGTCTGTCAAATTCCATTATTCCCCTTATAAAATATGCGTATGTGTGTGTGTATATATATATATATATATATAGCCGACAAGAAGTTAATCCCAATAAAAGTTGGCCCCTTATACGCACACCATTTTTTCTATCTTATCTATTTCGCTTTAGTTTTTTCTTTCTCAAAAAACAAAGGATAAGGAAGGAACATACAGAGAATCTAAACCCTAAATTAAACATTAAAATAGGAATAAAAAAAAAAACTTGTTCCCTGCACAATATGACATGATATCTGTAAAGTGAGGTTTCTTGTCAAAATCTTTCTTTAATTAATTTCCATTCCTTTTTGCTGTGTATATATATACATATATATATATATAATGCCAAATTAAGACATGCATGAAATTAAAAAAAAAAAAAAAAAAAGAAAAGAAAAGAAAAGCTATTAGAAGTGGAGCCAATTAACTTAATTAGTAAAGTGGAGGTTAAAAAATCTTCAAGTGATTATATAATCAACCAAATTAATTTTAATACTAAACAAGGGCTTAAAATAAAAGTAATTATTTACTTAATAAAAAAAGAATAATATTATGACCAGTGTAAATTGGGTTTGATTTTTTGAATACAAGCAAATTATTCCACATGAAATATATATATATATATATATATGTAAATAGGGATAACTAAGAGAATATGTTGAGTTATCTATTTTTAAACTTGTTTTGGGAGAAAAAAAAAATAATGGACCATATATAATAATGTTAATAGGTATTCGTAAGCAATTATAGAATGCTACAGAGATATATGTATGTGTGTATATATAAGAATTACTGTAAAGAAATCGAAGTAAATGTAGTAGGTCCAGTACATCTGTTGCCTTGTTGGGTGAGGAATATGATTATTACTGGTTTCTTTAAAATGAACTTTTTCAAGAACAGAATAATAATAGTATATAATATATTTCTGAATCTTATTCAAAATGCTTCTGAAATTTTCCATAAATGCTTCAATAAAAAGGAGATCTAATAAACAATTAATATTAATAATGGAGCAAGTACACACACACACATATATATTTATATATAATTCTGCAATTAATAAATAAATATACACTTGAGCAATCATTTTTAGCATAATGGACAAACGAAACATACACTGCTGGCATAGTCATCATCATAATTAATATTATAATCAATAATTTAATTAAATATATTCTTTTGTGGAACAAAAATAAAAGACAGACAGGCCTGCAACTACAAACAATTATTAAATTAATTAATGTTTATTTCGGGACCGTTTCTAGAATTTTTTAATTTTTTTTTTTAATCAAATTGAAAAATTTGCATGATTTCAAGAAATGAAAACTGACTTAATGACACCCTAATTACCGAAAGTGAATATTTTAAAATTATATATATATATATATATACATATCATGAATGGGGGCAGCCATCAGATTGGGTGTAATTAAGAGGGGTTTGTGGACTTGATTGAGGTGGCTTTTTGTCGGGTCGGGTTCCGACAAAGAGTCGGATGGATTAATTAAAATGTATTGCGAACCCAAAATCATCGGATCATGTCTCTTTTCCCTCCCATTTATAGTTTTCTTTTAAAATTAAAATAAAAAATGAATTACTGCCAAAATTATTATAGCTTCTAATTTTATTTTATATTTCAAATATATTTTATGAATATTTAAAAAAAAATACCATAATTACTAAAGCTGCTATTTTTAAAAAAACAGCTCCTTTCCTTTTCAAGTTTTTGATGTTACAATAAAAATATCAAGAGTAATTAACAAAAGGATCATCCTTGAACAGTCAAATGGTGGATGGAGGAGATTTACTACTACTCAAGTCTCCCACTAGCTGTATATTTATATAATTAATAGTTTAAGAAAGACCAATAATTTAGGGTAGGGTGGTAAAAGTCTGCACATACGTGTCTCTGTGTGTGTGTGTATTCAAATATTATTTGATGGGATAACTCTTTTCCAACTTTAGATTCATCTCCCCAGAATGTTGAATCTATAACTCAGATGTCTATGAAAGGATTGTTACACCAGCCTTTCTCAAGCCCATTATAAGGAGAAAGAAAATACAAACACAGACATGGGGAGGAAGAAAGATGAGTACATACGATACCGACAACCATGGAGATGAGTTTGAACTGCAGAATCATGCTTATATTTCATTAAGATTTTTGCTCTTCTCTCTTGTTTTTGGACTTTATTCGGGAGAATAGGTAGATGAGAAAGGCTTATATTTTATGGCACAACCAGAATAAAAATAAGAAAGTCATCACCTACTTTTGTAGTAAATTACCAGGCAAGACATCAAATGCTGAGCAGCTTCTGTTCCTTCAAGATCATTTGACATTCATAAACACGTGCACACGCAATTTTGAAGATTATCAATTTGAAGATTTGTCATGTATCAAAACTTTATAATATATATATGAAAAAAAGAAATAAACCATGTATAAGCAATGAATTTATTTCAAGTTAGTGTATCGACACAGATTTGATAAAAGTATAACAGGGTATATGTAATTAAATTCAAAATAACCAAGACAAATAAAGAACTAACCAATGAAACATCTTAAACAGAATCTGATAGCGGGAACAGCTTTTCCAGCATATTGTTAGAAAGTATTCCGTTTGGATCCAACTCTCTTCTCGCTTCATTGTATGCATCCACTGGAAAACGTTTTCTTAGTCTTGCTTGAAGAGCAGCAAGTTCTTCTTTATCCTTTGGAACCTGATGAGATTATACAATGTTTATATAGGAACAAAGCTACTCAGTTCAAAATATTTTCATGTAAACTTGAAAAAATTATATTGACATAAAGAACTAAGAAGTTGATTCAAGAACTGAATCGAGAATGCTAAGAAGGCATATTTTGTCAGCATAAATCAAATGTTTTGATGTCTAATTTTCCAGTATTGGAAATTTAAGGCTCCATTTGTTATATAAAAACATTTTTAATTTCAGTTTCTACTTTCGTGCATACCTACTCACTTGTTTATTTATTCACGCAAATATGCATGGTGGCATGGGATTGTGGAGTAAAAATGGAAATCATAGTGAGATAATAGTTGAAGGGAAGATATGGTTCAAAAAGAATAAAAAAAATTTTATAGATAAAAATATGTAAGTTTAGAAACTGAAAACTAAAAAAGATTTCATATACCAAAGGGAGCCTTATGATAAATTAGATGAAAATATGAAATTTCAATAAATTTGAAGCAGCCATCTGGCTAATTGTAAGAATCTTGATAAACAAAAAGATATTGGATGTGATCATGTGTTCTGATTTAAACTAGACAATGCTACAGGATATTATGCAAAACTAAATCAAGTACCTCAATTTTAGCCCAATGCTCATAAGCAGAATAACGATCCCAAAGCTCCGCTTGAGTCAGATGTTTGTAATGAAAGAATTCTTCCGTTATTTCCTTCCTCTGTCGAGGGTCCAGAGTAGGAAGATACATGATTATGCCAACCTGAAGATATCAAAAGATCATATGATTATTAACATTGTAAACAATAATCAGCATCTTGTCCACAGGTCACCCAACAATAATGGTAATCTAGTAATCTTGTGTTTCGTGTATCTGATTACGTAAAGCATAGTTTGAAATCCATCACTACCACGGTAAAAGCCTGTACAGGTTCTAGGTTCTGATAAATGCCTTAAATGACAACTTTAATTTAGATATCCGCATAAGGATGCCCTCATTTTTCTTCTGTAAGTTCTCTTCCCTGGCTTCCCTGGTTATTCTTTTGGGAGAGCGAATGAGCTGGCTGACTGAGGCTAGGGAGGGGAAGGCCATAAGAATTAACTGACTACCTATCTCTTTTTTGTTATGTATGCTGAAGGTCAGAAAAAGGGAGTGATGAAGACAAAGATGGATAAGGAAATTGAACACATTACCCATGAGAATATGTCATCCTCTGCTAAGCTTGAAGCTGGACTCATGCGGCTCTGGCTTCGAGCTGTCCACCGCTGCTCAATTGGAGCAGGTGCAGGTATATCTTCTTTCTCTATAAGTTGCTTCAGCTCTTCTATAAACTCAAGGTCTTTCATGTTTGGCTTGACAAGTGTTCCAGCAGGAAAACAAGTTTCAGATACCCACTGCTGCCCACCACAATCAAAGCCCAAGATTTCATCACTCCATCCCACTCTGTATCCCTCTGACTTCCTCCAAAACTCAGCTTCGGCTTGATTAATTTTTATTACATGATCCTTGTTGAGAGGGTCAAGGGCAAGTAGTTTATCTCTTAGCTCCGTAAATGAAAATTCATTTATGTTTGGCTCATTGTTTTCAGAAGGTTTAGCTGTAATTTCTTCAGCCCTGCATGAAACTAAAGAAAGCACTTAATTCCTTGGGGTAGATAAATAGCAAAAAAGAAAAACTCATTCTATCTTCCCTTTTTTTCACTTTTCAGGACAAACAGTAGAAGAACCACACTTCAAAAACGATCAATTAATAAAATCTGAGATGTTGACCAAACTAGTGTAAATGGCGATAGGTTTGGCTCCTAAATCCTGATAACCCTGAATTCAGCCAAATAATAGTTTTGTTACTTATTATTAATTAATTGGTAAATCGTCTGGAAATTGTGGATTGGTGTGTAAAGAAAAATAATGCTTACGATGTTCCAACTTTTCTACAAAGAAAAAATTCATTCACAAAGGAACCATGACCCACATATAGCCATATAAAATTTTTCGCACATTTTCAACCAAGAAACTACATGAGACTTTGGGTCCTGCAAACTTTAACAGAAATGAAAATGACAAGAAAACAGTAAAAGGAAACATATTGATATACAAGAAAACACATATATAGGACAGATTTTGTAGATTTTCTAAGAGCAAACAAGACACCAAAAACTTGATTATCACTTCATTTGTTTTGTGTCATCATTATAAATTCTTTAATGATATATACCAACTTGACAAGTTCAATGGCGAAAAATATGCTGGATTTTTTGGTTCATTTTCAACCTAAATGAATTTTAGCGGAATTTCACACCTAGTTTGAAAGTAACCAAAAATTTTTTAAATCAAATTTCAATACTAGCCAAAAGCCCTGTCAAAGCACATCAAAAGGCAACATTTTTCCCCCTAACCTTGATCTCTACTTTGTTTGAATCTGCATGGTTTGGAAAGAAGAAGGAGCAGAAAAACGTTATGGAGAGGGACTCTCTTTGCCATGTTAGGGCTTTATTGTTGTAGATGAATGCCTAAATTTTCGAAAACTGATTTCAGTTACTGCAGTAGTTTGCAATATATTGGTAGTTTTGGCTTTTGGTTTAGAGTAAATATCATTGTTTCTTCCATAACGTTTCCTCCGCTAATTTGCCAAAAAAAAGCATCGACCATTTTTCATTAAAGGTTTTTTCAACACCGTGTTTATTAATTATTTTTATAAGCGGATATCTTATCCTCCTTCATAACTTTGTTCTCCATTTGATTCTAACAATATTTTCTGAATTTATGCAGGAAAGAATATAATGCAACTTGAAAAGAGAAAAAGAAAGCACCGGGTGAACTAGTCATGAAAAGAGAAGTACGATCAATAGTACGAGTTTGCTTCCTCAATGTGCCAGAAAAGTCAATTGATACTATTTATGACTCTATTCCTTCAAGTAGTTCCCCAAACGAATTAAACAAAGAGGTCGTTATAAATAAAAGCATGCAAGAAAGCCGTGAAAAAATAAAACAAAACTAGACATGTCCGGCCATCCAGACTATTATAGGCATAAAGGATTGCATCACCAGTTATCATTCTTTTCGCCCAGTTGGTAACATGCTAAAATAGAAATCTAATTCAACACCTTTTACCTGTACTTCTTAAGCGCTTCTCTGTAGAGGTCACGAACTTGCTGCAGTGCTTCATCCTTGCTATATTTGGCTTTGAACTTGGGTGGACCTTTCCATTTTGAGACAGGGTTGCAAGTCACAACCACCACAGTGTCAGTATAAGGAATGTAAAGGTACTTCACATGCCTATTCTCAGACAGCAATTTTCTGCAGAACAGCAGACATGAACTTCAATAAACAAATAAATCTTCTTATGTAGGAAAAGAAAATACCCCTTAATTCAGTATTTGAAGAGAGCTTGCATAATGATCAGTAAAATATGAGAAAAGATCTTCCACTGTCCCATCTCCCTAAATTCAGTGATTAAGCATCCAAACTAAAGAACAAATGTGCAAAGTGCACAGTTACAAGCAGATAATTTATGCTACTCTGCACAAGGATAATTTTAGCAAGTTATCAAAACCCTTTTAGACCAACAAGTTAAATCATGGTTAAAAATGCTCCACAATCATCTTTGATGCAATTCAACAAGTCAAAAGAGTCGGTAGTCTACTCTAGGTCCAAGACAAGCTTATGGGGATGCAAAGTTATAAAACCAATGAAAAAAAAACAGAAACAAGAAGTAGTTACTTGTGATTTTTCTTGATATCTTTCATGGTTGAGACATATGTGTGCTCCACAAGCTGCTCTCTCTCAACACACTGGATGGTGACTTCAGCAACGACTCCAAGGCCCCCAAGGCCGCAACGAGCTAGATAAAAGAGCTCTGGATCTTTGTCCTTTGAAATCTCTATTGTTCCCTTGGCAGGGGTGACCAATTTCATGCTTATCACCTGCTCGTCAATAGGCGGCAATCTTGCACCAGTACCATGTGCACCAACCTGAACACAACCCACTACGCAAATGAAGCGAAGTTGAAAAGTATAACGCCAAAACCAAGAATGACATATCTTTCACTAAGTTGAATTGGTACTGTTTACTCTGAGTCTGACCCAATTGGCCCAAAGCAAGTAAAGAATCAAGTAAGCCAAGACACGAAAATACCTGAACAATGCCACCAATCTGCTGCTCTCTAATGGAGGCGAAGTTCTGGAGAGTAAGGTCATAGTCTTTAATGGCGTCCACCAACCCCTGCACCCTGATTCCTGCCTGCACCCTGACTCTTTTCCTTTCCGTATCGACCTCCAACACCTTATCCATGAGAGCAAGGTTGACCATCCCGCCTCGGGCTAGTCCAATCCCATTGGGAGATAACCCTGACCCAACGGGTCGGATCTTAGCCCGTTTGCCGCTGGCGTCACGGACCAAAGCCTCGAGGTCCGCGAGCGTCTCTGGTTGGTGAAAGTTGCGGGTCTGGACCTCGTGAGTTCCGCTCCAGTTGGAGACAGTATGGAGGTCGTCGGGCAAAGGAGCGTAACGGAAGATTTGAGCCTTCTTGTGCTTGGCGTTTTCCGGAAAGGGGAAAGAGTAGTAGGTGGCGGCGCCACAGAAGAGGAAGAGGGCACCGTAGCCTACGTACTTGCGGAGCTCGGCGTCGGTGGAGGAGGGAGGAGGAGGAGGAACGGGGGTGGAGGTGGTGCTGCAGAGTTTACGAATTGGGGGAAAAGGAGGTTCAACGGCGGTCGTTTGGCGGCGGCGCAGGGAGTGGAGAGAGCGTTTCAGCGAAAGTGATCTTAGCATTTTTTGGAGTTATGGAGATGCCAACGAGAGTGGAGAGGAGGGTTTTGGATTTGGGGTTGGATCAGTTGTTGCAGAGGCTCCGGTGTCATATCAAGTATTAACTGTTCATAATCCGATTCCCCATCTTTGATTGTTGACCATTAACGCTCTCGATCATGGTGGCAAATTGCCCATAATCAGTCTCTTCGAAATTTTACACGTACTTTTTTCCAAATAACATTTTACAGTGTATCTAGACTGAAAATTTTGGAAAAGTGGAGTAATAGTTAAGCTCCAATTTTACTTGAAAGTTCAAATTTCACTTATAATATAAACTATAATCATCTTATTATAAATTCCGAAAGAAAAAATATTTTAGCCATCACTTTCTCTTAATGAAAATAATTATAATGATTTATCTTTTAATCTAATATTTTTTCTTTAAAAAAAAATCCCACAGTTTTAAAACTTTAGTGAACCATAATTCAATTAATTTCAATTCCTTAAAATGCATAATCTATACTAAAACTAGAAATTTACAAAAAAAATAATAAAAATTTATTAAAAAATATCAAATGTAAACTAGATATACAGGTGAAGATTTTTGTTTTAACTACAAATTCATCCAGGCAATGTGTTTCTACTTAAGACATCAGATTAGGGTAATGAAAAATATACAAAACTGTTGGAAGAAAAACCTTCTCTCTCAATTTACTGCATTTAGTGTCTGTTTCCTTCATTGTTTTTGTATTGATCAAGATTAACTACTCCTCTGTTTCAATGATTTACCAAATGGGTAATGGAAAAGGGTTGAAGAAGCAAAGAGGAACAAGAAACAGATTAGCAAATAAATAAATACAAGCGTTTTAAGGAATTTTATTAAATGGCATTATCCTACCAAATTTTCATGCCAACCAAAAAATGGATAGGCAAATCTCTCTTCCTTTGTCCTATATCATTTCAGTGTATCAAACAAGACCTTAGTTTCTAACAACAAAGCCATCCTCTCTTCCAATCCGCCTTTTCTTGGTTGAATTTGGTTCAACTTGTCCTTTTTCTTCTTCTTGTTCCGGAAACAAATTTGCATCTCCATTTTCATCCCAATTTTTTTCTTGCAGGTTTTTCTGCTTTTTGCAGGGCGTAACGGCCTTGATGAACGACAATCTGAAACAAAATTTCATTTCCATTTACATAGAACAGTTAGATTCACTAAGAAGGATGAAATAAAAAAATTTAGAAGCCATGCTTTTATGAGGACTGACCTTGAATACCGACCACAATAGAACTCATCTCTGCTCCGTCCTCGTTCTTCGAAGCTGTGCAACCCATTTCCCCTCTCTTTCTCACAATAGTCTCCAATAAAGACTCGAGCATTCACACTCTATTGTCTATTCTAATGTGAAAAAATTTTGGGATATGAGATGAAAAGAGGAACTTATGTTTAGAATGCTTAGCTTTTATTACCTTCTTTTTTATTTTGGCTAGAATGAATGCTGAATTTATGACAGTACATCATATAAGATTGTGCAAGGAATTAAATCTCAAAATAATTGACTTAAATGCTTGTCTCCTCAAGATCAATGAGATACTCTCTTAACTTTGCTTTTATGTGCGTGTAGCTTAGTGCTATGTGCATACATATTTACAAAGTTTATAAATAAAAACTTATCAAATGCCAAAGCGAGAACCTGAGCGCCAAGAAACTAGCCATGGAGTAAATGTGACACTCAATACAAGAGCAAAATGAGGACAGAAATATTGAAAGTTCCTTCTAAGGGTTGTAAGTATCAATTAATTTAACAGGTGAAGTAAAATCAACTGTGATGTAAAAATAGGGAAAAAAAAAAGTTACCTCTCGTTGACTAATCACCCTGTCGCCAGGAAGGGTGATTCATATGTGATAATAAGGTAACACTGTACACACTGTCCCTGTAACAACGAAATGGTGCTCTCTCCTGCATTTGCTGTATAGAAAATCTTGCCACAAGAGTATTCATGTTCTATACAAATTCTAACAAACCAACAGAGCAAACCCAAGTCTATGGTAACAATCTTCTTATCAACCGCAGAAGCAATCCTATGGAAGTATGGGCTACTTCGATCAACATGCCAATAGTGTCAAACTATTCAGTTAATAGTATGGATACAGATATTTGAGGAACAAAATGGTGCATACAGTAAGTATCATGGAATATACTTGAAACATGAGACTTAAAAATGGATGACTGACAGGCACATTGCAAACAAAAGTTGAAAAGGAGAAAGTACAACACTCAATGAGTGTAAACCTTGTTATCATACACATCTTCAAAGTACAGTTAAAGATTCAGCACACTAATAGAAATCTAATAAAGTACCAAGTGCAGACAACAAACAATAAGATCAGTCAAATGTACAATGCTATCTATATAGTAACTGCCAACTTGCCCAAGCCATCATACCCATTTCTTGAGGTGAGCAAGTTGGTAGCAAAACTAAACTAAGACATGAATTCCCTTGAGGCCCATCTCTCCTCATACCTCCCTAACGAGAAGCCTGTAGAAGGCATTTCTGTTAGGTGGAGAGGGTCTGGTTCAATGCCATAATCTGTTAGCGGCCTATGCTCAAGAATAGCATCATGATCTTTCACAAATTCAGGAATATCAACCTCTCCCTTTTTTATGTTGTCCCAGAGGTACTCCAAGCGGCTTACATACTTGATTTTCCAGTATAACCTGACAAAAGGAGGAACATTAAGTAAGGACATCAGAAATTCTTTTTTCAGGAATTCCTTGCTGGGAAAGAGAAAATAAATAATCATGTACTCAGCATTTTATGATTCATGAACAATTTTGAAACTGTTTTGCTGCATTAAAAACTAAACATAGTTTCTGTTTAGAAGAGTGCCATGAACCAACTTTCGGTTTACGCTCCTGGAAGGAAGATCATAGGAAGCTACTCACCCTCCACTTAAGAAAAATCGGCCAAGAGTAGCAAAGAAAAGTCTTGAGCGAAGTCCAGGGTGTATGAAGTAGACAATCTGAAGCCTGTTCTTGATGTCTGAGGGAAGTCCCTCATAAATCCACCTCAAGATAGTTAAGCCAGGGCAGTTGTCCTCCTTTTGCACCGTACTATGCACGTAAACAATGGAAAATGGCCCTTCTGGGAACTCACTGCATATTTTATGGAGTATATACTTCTTGAGCCGCTCCCCGCTCACAACTGGAGCTGTTTTATTGAAATGTAAGAAGTTCAAAAAAGAAACTCACTTCAGTAACTTCGTAGTGACTAAGAACTTTTTATTTAAGAAGAAAATATATATCATATTATATATATATATAAGAAAGTACCAAGAAGGTGTGTGACTAAGTCAGAACATAAATCACATGTGCTTTAATCAACGGATTTACGTTGAGTCTCCCAGGAATTTCTCGACCCCCAAACACCGTCCCAAAGAACAGTTCGAGGGAAGAGCAGACTTGCAACAAAATGAGAGAGAACAATAAGATGTCTCAGGTGCAATGCAATAGGATATATGAAAACCAGGGTGCCCTTGTCGAGGACGATATAGAAGATAAAATACAGCAGTTTATTCAAATCAGTAAATTAAGAACCCTAAATTCAATCATGCAGACAACAAATAGTATAATTTCAACTTCTTACCCATATGGAGCTAACAAAACAAAAAAAATATTAATCCGTTTCAAAGTCTCGGATACAGTCACCCGGAACAAACAAAAAACTCAATAACTAACCTAAACCAAGTTAAATCGGGAAACGAAACAGAAAATGAGAAGAGGCTGTTACCAGGAAAATACTTTCCGACGATTCGGAAAATTCGGCTTCCGGCTTTATCGGAGCCTTGGAGACAGAAGAACTGGAGGAAATCGAGATCAGAGAAATCCTCATCGGGATAGAGGTACTGAGAACAGTCGTGCCAGTTCTCCGGCTCTTCGGTCTCGTCTCCTCCCTCATGGCTGCTCAACAAGAAAGGACGAGCATCAATACCCAAATCGGATGCCAACACCATCACCGGGAAATCATCGGAGGATGAGCTTCCCATTTCTCAGCTTTGTAACTTGCTGTTTTTTGAAATTTATGCTATTTGTTTTGGTTTTCCCTCTCGCTTTCTCGCACTTTCTTGGGGACGCTAAGGTGGCGTATTTAGGGCGCCGGGACGGGGAGGATGCACTTGGTTTTGGAGATTGGGGCTGTTGGTTCTTACGTGTCAGGATATAAGTGGTTTAAGTTTGAAGAAAGTCAAGAGTCAACTGCCGGTCATGGTTTTAGTTTAACACGCGAATAATAAAGTTATTGGAAGCCATTAATCAAGGATTAGATGTAAATTAAGGGCCTAATCAAACCAGAATCCACGTGCGGTGTCTCCGAGAAGATAAGGTTAAGCCACGACATATGGGTGTGCCTACAAATATCACATGTTAATCCTCATCTTAATTTGCATTTGATTTTTCAACTTAAATGGATTACTCTCTAACCAATTATAGTTTACAACGTAATCTTAAAATAAATAAGAAAATTCATGATTTCATAGTATTTATGAATTAATAGAAATTTATGTATCTTCAAATATAATTATAAATTTTACAATATTTTTTCTCAAGTTAGCACATTGTAATAATTTGTTTTTATCTTATCGTATCGTTTAAATTAGTTAAGTAATAAAAATAAAATATCATTTAATTAACCAAACAAACAAAATAACGTACTATAAATTAATTGTTAAAAGTGATTAAGGCAGTTCAAGTAATAAATATAATGAAACTTAAATGTATTTATGTTGAATTTTTTATTAACAAGTGAGTTTAACATATAGTTTTAGTACGTGTAATAAGTTATTAATTTATTTGATATGTTTAAAAATAATTTTTAACTAATTGTAGTTTTTAATACATTATGTTTAAGTATGAACTTATAATATGTACATATATCATATTTATAATTTTTTATTTTATGATAAACAAAATAAAAAATGATAAAAATATACAATATAAACGGCGTTTATGATCTCAAAACTATAAACACATTTTGTTTATTTCTCATTATCTCGTAAAAAGTAAAAATTATTTTTTTACAATCACGTGTTGATTTTAAAAATCTATTATAGGACACAAAATCTCTTTCATTATAAATTCAGCTACGCTTCTGTGTTTATTACCTTTAATTCAGTACGAGTTTGTTTATAATTTTCATATTTATTTTGATTTAATTTCTTGCAACTCAACTAAATAATCAATAGTATATAAAAATTAACGAGTATACGTGAAATTAATGTCATTAACTAGAATATTTCATCGTGTTAATGGAAAGTAACTTAAGTTATAAATATGATTTATTCATGTGATTACATGATTGAAATATGTCGTAAATATATGATTATATAATATTGTAACACGATCAAAAGTAATGCAATCATCGATCCATAATTAGATTGAACTGAATAAGTAAATTAAGTGGGTATTAGGATTGAACATCAACCAAGTTATATTTTAATATAGTGAAATCAAAATAAATGGTAATATGTAATTTTTACATACATATATAAAATATAATCGTTATATATTACATATGATCTATAATTAATATATATGTACATAAAATAAGTTATATATGCTTAATATGTATGTAAAATATAATATTTAAATATATGTAAAATATATATAATATTTTTTTTGAAAAATATGTATAATATTTTCTCAGATATTTTAATTTAAAAAAAAATAAAAAATAAACTGCGGATAAAACTAAAAAAATGTTTGATGGAAATTAATTTATCTGTTTCAGGCATTGATTTGATGCCTTTTTAAAAAAAATAAAAAAATAAAATTGATAACCCTTAAATTTGATTATATAATTTGTCTTTAAATATTTAAAGTAGATTTGCATTTAATATGAGACCACACGAGTTGGTTTATTTTTTATATTATAAATTTACATAGTTTTTATTTAACGACTTATAAAATGACAATTAATTGATGGCAAAATATTAGTTTTAAGTTGAAATTTCAGTAAAATGATAATTAATTACTTTTTTTTTGGGTTTAAGAATAAATTGGAACAAAAATTTAATTAATTATTATTAAATAATACTATTTGATATATTTTTATTAATTTGTTATAAGATTATAACTTATTATATAAAGATTGTAATCAGATTTGTTAATCCAAAAACTAAAAAATATATATTGCTAGAAAAGAGTGTTTTATTTGATATTTTTAATTATCAAACAAGTTTATAAATTAGTATGTTAAGAAAAACAATTAATTATATATTGTTAAAAATATTAAAAAATTTGAAATCAAAATATAATAAAATCACTATCATACAATAATTGCTCTGATTCTGACCGCATTGCATTCTTCTGCTGTGTTTTGACATTTTACATTTTCATTTTTAGAATTTCTAATTAAATTTTTTATTTATTATATATATTTTTAATTGTATAAAAATATTAGAAATTATTTAACTAAATGAAAGGTGGGTATGGGTATTTATTTTTCGATGGTGGGAATTCCCTCCAATATTAAATTTATTTATTTATTTATTTATTTTTATCAATATCTTTTCTCAGACTCAGAGGGTCCCCCAACGCCTTCAGCTTGTCGTCAAGAAGTGGCCACCCAACTATCGTCACCTCACTTCGAAGGCTCCAACAAAATCTCATGGCTTCTCTTTATCTTCTCCTTCACTTTTCCTATCGACCTGGTAAGTTATCTTGTAGCAATCTCTCCTCTTGGTTCTAATTCTTTCCGAGTTCCATGTAATCAAAATATATTTATTTTTTTGTAATCTTGGAGTTAGTGAATACCCAGTTCAGTATCTCTTCAATTCACTGCCTTTTTTGCTGTAAATATTTCTATATAGGTGATTGTAGAGACCCACTTTATGAATTACATTTGTCGAGATTTTATTAGGAAAACCTGAGTTTGATTTTGCCTGCAATTTAATTTCAGCTGAGAACTAGACAGACTCTACAAAGCCGAGTTTGTGTTCACAGGAATTTTTTGGTAACCCCAATTTGAGTTTTAGGGGTTAAATTCATATTGGGTATTCCATGGATACGCTGCTCAAAACACATAACAAGCTCGAATTCTTGCCGCAGCTTCACGGCTTTTCTGAGAAATCGAGTTCAAGCTCCTCAAGACTTCAAAACCCGGAGCTTAGGTTTGGTCCCAAGAAGTATCCTTGGAAAAGAGGTAGGGATGGTTGTCTTAAAGCCAGTAACAGTGCTCTTCTGGAGCTTGTTCCAGAAACAAAGAAGGAAACTCTTGACTTTGAGCTTCCCATGTATGACCCATCAAAGGGACTTGTAGTGGACCTGGCTGTTGTGGGAGGCGGCCCTGCAGGACTTGCTGTTGCCCAGCAAGTTTCACAGGCTGGGCTTTCGGTTTGCTCGATTGACCCGTCTCCCAAATTGATTTGGCCTAATAACTATGGGGTTTGGGTGGATGAATTTGAGGCCATGGACTTGCTAGACTGCCTTGACACCACCTGGTCCGGTGCTGTTGTGTACATAGACGATAAAAGCAAGAAAGATTTGGATAGACCTTATGGAAGGGTTAACAGGAAGCAGCTGAAGTCAAAGATGTTGCAGAAATGTATAGCAAATGGGGTGAAGTTTCACCAAGCTAAAGTTATTAAA